TGTGAGCCAGCAGAGCAGACCTGTCCCAGCAGGGTACCTGGGAAATACTGAGATGTTCACCCTGCCAGAGATTCAATTTCTCAAAACTGTTGAATGACTGCCCAAATAGGGCATTTGATAGGTAAAATAGAACTTATTTCCATGCCAACAGTGTCTGACGGCTATTCAAAGATACCCATCCGGAGTATTTTCATGAGGTACTGAAATTCACAGGCTTCAGGGGAGCAAGAGCCATGCAAACTTGCAAACACCTGCACACACACAAAAAAACAACCAAAAAAACAAAAAAAAAAACCAAACAAAAAAACCCAATAAAACCCAAACCAAACCAAAACAAACACCAAAAAACCAAATCCAAAACAAAAACAAACAATCAAACAAACAAAACCCACCAAAACCAAAACAACCCTAAAAGCATAGCAAATGATTTTCAGCTTATAGAAGAGCCTGACTCTGCTTCGCATGTTTCCAGAAAAAGCCAGCTCTCCTTTTTGAAGCATCTGACAGATCTGCACTACTCCCAGTGATATCTTGGTGGTGCAAAGGCAAGAATGGGCAGCTTATTCTCTTGGAAGCCAAGTCTAAATTCTCCTTCGGCAGGAAAACAAAGGAATGTGTTATGGCCCATCCAGCTCAGGCTGCCCAATAAGGTGCCTGCTCCTTGCTGCCCACATCACATGTGGTGTTTTCTATCACTTCATTTTGTGACTCCCTGTCTTAGCTAAACGAGGCTCTCACTGCCAGTGTGTACAGCAAGTTTCCATGTTTAACTGTTTAGGAGTCCTGGCACAGACCTCACTTGGCCTGATAGGCTGTGCTCGTCAGGAAACCCAGTATGGAGAGTAGCTCACTTGCTGCAAGAGTCGCTCCCCGGAGTCTCTGCACAGGGCCCCAGCTAGGACTGGCACACAGGGCACTGCTGCCCCAGGGCACCACTCACATCTCTCCTGTGCTGGGCTTCCCAACCTTTCTAGCAGTCCTGTGCTCCCGTTTGTGGTGGTCCCTCTAGGTTGGGACCTTGCCTCTTCCTGTGTCAGCCACTCCCTCTAGTTCAGCACTACCATCACCCCAGAGCACGAATCCTGCACATCTCCCATGCTGGATGGACAATCCTTCTGCCATTATGCTGCTCACACTGAATTCCCGAGTGGGGCACTGTCCAAAGGGAATGGTCAGAGGTGGTGCTCTGCTCTGAGAGACCCTGCCTGCCCACCTGCAACTGCCCGTTGCGGGTTTTCTGCTGCAAGTCCTGTTTCTCCCCAGGAGCCAGGAGAGCTGCTGGGCTGTCAGGCAAGCATGCTCAGTGCCCTGGCCAGGTGGAACTGTGCTGGATGGAAACTAAAGCTGCTCATGGCTCTTGCCCCAATTTCTGCCCTGACATATGGCCTATTTTAAAGCCACCATGTTGTTTTGGTTTTTTCTACAGAAGAATGTCACAACAGCAAACTCAAGTCTCAAGTCTCCCACATGATCCTGGCTATATCAGCAAGCAATTCTTTCTCTCCCGCAGCCCCAAGTTCCCATACAAAACTCAACAAAGGGATGAGAAGCTGCAGTAATTTGGAAAAGCAGCACTGATACTAAACAACCAGGCCACTGATGGAAACTATCCCCACTAGACAAGGCAAGTGAACAGCTGGTAAAAACATGCAGCATCCTTGTAGTATGTTGTTTTCCAGCCTCTCTTCTGCCACATGGTCATACTCCATGTCCAGCTGCACATCAGTTCTCCCTCAGAGGTTTCACCTTGGTCTCCACACCGCAACCTATCCATAAAGTGTTTCCAAAATCCATGTAATCACCTCCCTATTCTTATTTCCCACCAACTCCAGTTAGATGCAAAATATCTTAAGCTCAATCACTCTGGATACTTGTTTGTGGAATGTGCTCTGAAAGTGCATGACTGATGTCATGCCATCACCTGTTTTATTCCAAAAGGCTTATGGTCCCCTCTCAGATCTTAACCACAAGCTGCAGGTAAGAACTAAGCTCCTTATCACAAAGTATCATGAGGTGTCTGGCTGTGATGCTCTCCACAGTTCTAACTGCAAGGCCCTGGAACCAAGCACACAGCCAATGAAAACCCCAAACTTGCCCTTCCATGACAGGTACAGCTGAGGTTGGGGTGGTGGCTGTGCCATGGGTATGTACTGTCACTTCATTTGCATTAAGCTAATATGATCTGGGATTTTGATTTTGCCAGATCCTTAACTTGAAGCACATTAAATACAGCCCTGTATCTCCTGGGACACAATGGCACAAGTTTTCCTCACCTCATAGAGGAATTCTGACATAGAAACCAAACGATCAAGTGATGCACATGAAGGGGCTGTCCACACATTTAGTGTCCACTGCCCTTTGTTTGGTTGAAGTGGAAGAAGCAGATCAGGTCATAGGACCAACGAAAAGCAGGGTGTCCCCATACTCTACCCCTGAGGGAGCTCAGTGGTGTGGTCTGTAACAGGGCAGCTGTGTGGGGAGTGAACTGGATTTTTTTCCATGGGTGGAAATTGCTTTTGAAGATGCAAGCAGATGGGATTTTGGTTGGGGTAATTCTCCAGCAGCTATCAGTACTAGCAAACTCCATTCTTGAGAGGCCAAGACACAGTGCCCTTGTGCAGGGTACAACTCTGCAGTGCAACTCAAGTGAGTTGTACAACTTGCAATCAATGATCTTGCAATCAATGACTGCTTTGCCCAGCTGAAGGCTGCAGAACTTACTGTTGGCAGGATCTGAGCTGAGAAATTTAGACAGAAGAAATGATAACCCTAAACTTTGTCCCAGAAACCAAAATAAAGTTCAAGTGATAGATTCTGTATGGGTAATACCATGTAGATATCACACAGTTTTGATTGTATTATGAACTCCATTATGAATAGGTTTAAATCAATGCATGGTGTTTCCCATCTTACTTACTCTTGTCCTTCCTGCAGCATGATGGAATCAAAAGAGAAAACAATGCTTCACAAACACAAACACCAACTGTTCTGCTCCAGCAAGAGGCACCACTTGACTTACAGATGGAGGAGATCTGCCATCTAAGACCCAAGTAGGTGAGTTGGAGTTTCGTGTTCTCCATAGTTTCCTCCCCATGGGAGCTGATACTCAAAAGAGACACCAGTACTTAAAACAAGACATACTCCTGCTCCCAAAGTAGAGACTTAAAAGTGTTTTTAAACAGGTTTATGATAATGTCAGATTGAGAGTAGTCTCCAGGGCACCACATTATACAACTAACACTTCACTCCCAAATATCAACACCACAGTTTAAGCTGTGTGATGTGGAAAGGCGAAGGGATAAGAGCCAGCACATGCTGTTTGGGTATCCATTTCAGTCCCTTGGGCTCTGCAAGGAAAGTGCTTACTTGGGAAAGGATTTTCACCAGCAGGGAGGGCAAAAGCAGCTGTTCAGCACACCATCCACTCCACAAAACACACCTCTGTAATTCCCCATCCTCTACAAGTGCAAAGCAAAGCACGATCTGACTTTGCCTCTGGAGGCATGGAATTGGCATGGCACAGAGAGAGACAATCCCAGAGGTGAGTGAAACTACAGCACTGCCTTTGGGAACATCTGATAGGAAAATCTATTCCCAGCTGCAGCTCCCCATAAGCCAGAAGCTCATTACTGATGAGGCAAGCTTCATACTGAAGGAGATGGGTTTTGGTTTATACAGAGTAATACTAACCCTAGTCGCTGTGCATTTCCAAGAACTTGGATGTTGGTACAGGAGGTTGATTTTTTTTCTCTTGACACAAACTCTGCAGAATGTGATTTGAAATTCTGCCCAGTGTCTGCATCCAGCTACTGGACACGCTACACACACATGTGGGTCCACAGCAAGTGCCATTTCATGGTTTATTTTGCTAGCTCCATAGGACTTTTTGCTATCTCCCAAATTGCTGGGAAGCTGCAGAGATAAGAAGGTGGCCAGTGAAATCTTGGGCCCCTTATTTAGCTGGAAAGCAGGGCTGGGATTTGTTTGCTGCATGGAAGTGGATCCTCTCTCTCTCTCTCTCACACACACACACACACACACACACATACATACACCACACACCAGATTTTTCTCCAAGCATATAAATAGCTCAACAACTCTCTTGGACACCTCCAAGTGAGCTGTGTTTCTTCCTTAAAAATAATTTGTGTAATGCCCAAGAGGGCTTTGAAAAAGCTTCTCCTACAAAGATAGTCTCCTACAAAGATAGATTCAGCAGTGCACTCATGACTTGAGTTCTGGAAGAGCTGGCAGGAGACACCAAGACATGGGCAGGATCAGATGTACAGCCATTCACAGCACCTGCACACCTGTGCATATCCACCTCTCTGCACACACATCTGCCTACACCTGTTTCTTGCCTACATGCACACACGCAAGCCTCGGGTCCAACCACATACCTGTGTGTGCTGGCATCTTTTTGTACAAACGCTTGCTTGTCAGTGCACATCCACAATCTCTCTGTCACATCCTCACCCCCACAACCAGTGCCCCTGCAACACCCACATACCTGTGCATGTGCACTGTTCCATACACACATGTGGCCTGTGCACTCCTGCACACACTTTCCATCTTACATTTAGGACATCCTGCCATCTCCTTTATATTTTGGCTTGCAAGGAACATCATGCTAGCAGGTGAGGAGGCTGTGCTCTCCCCAAGCCTGTGGGTGTGTGTCACAGGGGTTCAAGTCCTGGGCAAGCATTTCTCACCAGCTGGCACACTCAGCTGGGGTCTGACCCTCAGCCCCAAGTATCTGAGCAAACACGAAGGAGTTGGCAGGTATGTTCCAGCATTAGCCTGCAGAGAGCCTGGCATCCTTCCTGTTTGGATCGTGGACCTGTGGGGTCCTGTGGCATAAGGATCAGGGACAAGCCGGTCAGCTTAAGTGTAAACCAAGGGCATGGGAGCCTAGCTCTGTCCCAAATAGCTGCTGCATACCCAGCTGGGAGGGCCCTAACATTAGTGCATTCTACATAGCACTCGGCAAGCAAACCGCGTAGCCTAAGCCCACACTTACTATCTCTCCCCACGGACATCTGTCACCGGCTGTTGTTTTTGTTTTTTTTTTTTTTTTTTTTTTCCAGCCTAATTTGTTTCGACAGCTTGATTTCCGCAAAGAAGCGTTGGGCTCCCTGGGGAACGGTGCCCGGCGCTGACTGTTCCGCGCAGACCCGGCAGCATCCCCTTCGACAGTGGCGGCCGCCCATAGCTCCCCTCTCCCCGCCGCCGGCAGCACAACCGGCCTCGACGGCGGAGAGCCCTACGGGAAGGCGCGGTTAAATGTCCGTGCCCCGACGCCCGCACCGGGATCCCGGAGACGACCCATCTTCGCTCGGTGCCCCGTCAGTGCTCCGGAGCTGTGCGCTCCCGACGGCGGTGGCTGCGCGGCGCCCCAGACTGCGCTGGGGACGGGGACCAGCGGAGAAGGGCGTGCGGGGATGCCGGGCAGGGCGCTGTTCCTACCCGCGCGGCACGGCACGCCCGGCCCTGCCCGCGCCTCCCGGGCGGCGGGGCGTAGCAGGGGGAGTGCCGGCCGCCCGGGCGCGGAGCCGCCGACACCGCCGCATAAAAGCCGGAATCGTGCCGCGCTGCGCCTCCTCGGCGCGGCTCGGCTCGGTCCGGTCCGGGGCGGAGCCACTCCGACGGCCACATGACAGCCGAGAGCCGGCTGCCGCCGGGCCCCCCGCCGCCGCCGGCAGAGGAGGCGGTGGCGGGGGCGCGGGGCGGGCGGCGCCGCCGCAAGCGTCCGGCAGAGGGGGGCAAGCCGCCGTACAGCTACATCGCCCTCATCGCCATGGCCATCGGGCAGGCGCCCGAGCGGCGACTGACGCTCGGCGGCATCTATCGCTTCATTACGAGCGCTTCCCTTTCTAACCGCGACAGCCCCCGCAAGTGGCAGAACAGCATCCGCCACAACCTCACTCTCAATGATTGCTTTGTCAAGGTGCCACGGGAGCCCGGCCGCCCGGCAAGGGCAACTACTGGACGCTGGACCCTCACGCCGCGACATGTTCGAGAGCGGGTCCTTCCTCCGCCGCAGAAAACGTTTCAAGCGCAGCGACCTATCCACCTACCGGCCTTCCTCGCCGAGCGCCCCGCCGCCCCCTGCCGCCCCCTCCCGCTGCCCGCCCCGCCGCCCTCCGCCGACCTGCCCCCGGCCCCCGCCGCCGCCTCCTGTGCCTTCGCCGCCGCCTTCCCCGCGCAGGGCTGCGCCCCGCCGCTCTGCCCCACGCCTACGCCTCGCTGCCCACCGCTGCTGGGCCCTACGCGCCCGGGGCCACGGGCCGCTGTACGCGCCGTCGGGGCGCATCGTGCTGGCCCGCCCCTTCGCCCGGCGCCCCTGCGCTCTACGGCCGCCGCTCCCCCGCGCCCTTCCCGCCGCTGCCCCCCGTCTACGGCGCCGGAGGGCAGCTGAGTGCCGCCGAGCCCGCACCGCGACACGGCACCTACCCTGGAGGCTCCGACAGGTTCGTCCCGGCGCTCTGACCTATCCCGGAGGGGCCCGACAGAGCGGACCGGAGCCGGGGAGACGACGGAGTGCGGGGGTTGCCCGGCACGGCTGCTCCCGGCACTGCCTGGGAAGATGCCGAAGAACCTTGGTCTGCACCTATGCATTCTGCCATCTGCCTAGGCTTCTTGGGTAGGAGTGTCGCACTCAGCCCTGGGGACCTGGGGTGTCCTGTCCAGCCCTGTCCACTCTCGGCAGAAAAGTCCTAGGGACTCCCAAGTGCTTGGATGGGACAAACAGTCTCTTCTTCTTCTACAGACTTTATTGGAGCAAGTGCACAGAGCTTCCTGCCAGGCTCCCACACTCCCACACAACCAGCCGGGCCCCTCTGGTCTACCCAGGAAGATTTCACGTTTAAAAGTCTCTCTGCTGCTGATGATTTTTTTTTAAAGAGAATTAAATGTCTGTTGATGAGGTGAAGGAGGGAGGCAAGAGGAAGCATTCCCTGGCCTCTTCCAGGCAAAACTATAAAAGCAGAATGGTGGCACTGATGTGGTGGCATGTCCCTGATGGCTATTGCTTTAGCCCCAGGCTTTCCACTGCAGTGTGGCCAAGACTGGAGAAGGTTTGGATGCCAGGTCTGCAGAAAAAAAAATCAAGTCATATCCTTTGAGGTGTTGTGCTCTGTGCTGCAGGGGTGGGAACAGTGGTGGGCTTGGAACTACAAAAATTTCTACTCAGGAACATGCCCAGCCCCTGGAAGAGGGACACAGTGAGGCTGTGGGACCTCTGCCGTTGGAGGTCTTTCCAACTTGATTGGACAGAGCCTGATCTGCCTCTGAAGTCGTAGCCAACATTGAATCTGGACTTGTTTGGAGTGGAAACCTAATCCTGAGGTCTGTGGAGGTACTTACAGCCTAAATTACTTTGATCCCCAGATCAGCCCAGCTCTGTAGCCTAGAGAAATTGGTATATATAGGAGAAAAATTTTGTTTCTGGAACACCAAGAGGCAGGATATGGTGCCTTTTCATCTTCAGTTGCTCCACTTTCAAGCTTTCTGGGGATGGAAAATAGTCTAGAGAAGATATGGAGAGGGAACAACTAATAGGAATGTGTGTGAGATAAAAGCTTAAAACTAGATTTGTGGGGAAACTCAAGCATACCCCTCCCAACAGATCCCACCACCCTGGAAAGGAGTCTGGAACAGTAGTGGGTGCCTAGGGCTCTGCTTGGGGCTGTGGGTGTAGAGGGAGTCAACACAGCCCTGCTCCCAGGTCTTCTTATACAACTCCCTTTTCCCACGGAGGTGGGGAACCTGTCTATCCAGGGCCAGGAGGAGGCTGGTGAGAAGATTCTGCAGTGTGGTGGGGCCTTGTATGGGGAGAGGAAATGAGAAAGTGCAGCCAGGACCTCAACAGGAGCTTTGGAAGAACAGACGGGGTGCATGTACACCAGAGTATCTCTCACCAGAGAAGGGTATAGATTGTAGTATAACTCAGGTTGGAAAATATCTTGGGAAATTTCTGTTCCAATCAGGTATCCAAATCAGAGTCAGCTATGACTCAGACCAGTAGGCTTAGCCCTATGTAGTTAAGTGTTCATCATCTCCAAGGATGGAGACAGCGCAGTCTCTTTGGGCAACCTGGATGTCCTTGTTGGGGAGGTTTCTCCTTGTACCCTCCATTTAGCACTTCTCTATTCTCATTTCAATGTTTACTGTCTCTTGTCCTACTGCTGTGCTTTGCTGCAAAGGGTTTTTTGATCCCATGAAGACACCTATATCTTCTGCTCTGCATTTTTCAGATGAGGTCCTCAGCAGGATGAAATTTGTGTAGAGGCAGATTTCTTGCTTTCTGTGGGTGCTGCAGTCCACGTATCCAGGTGGGACATGAGGGGGGAAATGGAGTGAAGCAGGAAGGTTGTGGGTGTCCTCACTGCACAGCTTGGTGTGAAGAGTAAAGCCCTCTGCAGTAGGTGGGCAGAAGTTGTACCTTCTGTGGGGCTGTGAGGTAGAGGATGAGTTTTGGATTCAAAGGTTTCAGAGTACCAGAGATGGCATGTGGTGAGGCAGTGTCTGGGCTGGGAGGCTGAGAGGGACGTGATAGCACTGCCCTTTGTCTGTGTACCTGCCTGTGGCACTGCAGGAAGCTGCTGTCCGTACACAGACAGAGCCAGTGCGGGGCAAGCACAGACACCGCTCAACTCTTTGGCATACTGAGTCAGTCAGATTTTTCCCTTTCTATCCTTTCTGAAGTGGTACATCGTATCTTCCTTATTCCTCCTGGTCCTGGCACATCCAGAAGCTGCTACCATCCTGGAGACAGCTATTTCAGCCAGGGGCAGGTCTCCCCAGCAGCTGTGCTAACACCTCTCACAACTCTCCCCTCACCATCTGGAAGAGGATCTGTACACTTAGCTGTGCCAGCTCCTAGTATTTTTAGATAACTGCTGGCTCTGCTTTCATTGCCTGCAAAGACTGGACTGTGTCACTTTGACAGAAAGCCATGCCAAGCTCTTGCTCATTTGAGGGTAGCTGGGAGAAGAGCTGTCCTGACTTTTAATGCCTTTCTTTCCTTCCTGTAGAAGCAGTTATCAATGTGGACCAGATAATTTTCATAGAATCATAGCAGTGCTGGGTTGGAAGGGACTCATCAGGATCATCAAGCCCAGCTTCTGTACCTGTGCAGGACACCCCAAGAATCATACCCTGTGCCTGAGAGTATAATCCAAATGCTTCTTGAACTCTCTCAGCCTTGGTGCTTGCTCCTGGAAAGCCTGTTCCAGTGCTCAGCCACTGTGAAGCTTGTCATTGGTCATGAGAGTGACGAGCTTAGATGCCTTCTGATCCTTGTTGCTCTCATCTTGTTCTCTGCTTCAGGCCTCATGCCAGTTTAGAGTTCAGTCTAAACAAAGGTCACCAGTGATGATACAGGTTTTGAGGAAGATGCTTCTGAACTCAGGTGGCATCTGTAGGCAGTTCAGAGAGCAAAACTCAGTGTCTGAAGGACAGGCCTGACAGATCTTGGTGACTTAGAATGCACAGATTGGATAGATTCAGTTGTGTATTGTTTGCAGAGAAGGTCTAGATGCTTGTTCTTGTTTCTCTCCAGATCTTTCCAAACTAGGGAACTGGGCATATCTAGATGGTAATTTTTTGCAGCAGGTACAGTTATGAGCTTGCTGCATTAAGAACCTGAGACATGGTCAAAGACTGCTTAAACTTTGGTCACAAACAGCTAGAAACCCTGGTCAGAACTGGAGAGCTTCTGGTTCCATTCAAGGAACTCTATATCTGTGTGGGTTCTGTACTTCAAGCTTTTTTAGGCAAAACTAGACAAAGCTGTACCTGCCCTTTGCTAGTGCTGGCAGTGCTCCAACCTCCCACTTGCAGCAGGCCTGGAGACTTCAGCAATCCTTTCCCACCAGCACTGCTATGGTTTTGTGGCTGCTCGAACCTCTCTGAGCTGTCCTGTAGGCTCAGGTGCCAAGGGTGTGCTGGGCACTGCGGGTCTGTCCAGGCTGTGCCTTGTGGCGCTGCCCCTGTGCCCATGTGTGACATGGGACTGCCTGAGCACTGACAGAGGAAAATATGCTTGTTGTGTCCTTGGGGAGCCATGGGGTTGGGTCTGTCTGTGAGGATATGGGGATATGCCAAGAGGATACGTTAGACAACTGGATCTCAGTGTATGCTTGTGCCATGGGGATATGTTAAACATGTGGGTCTCAATGTGTTTTGTCTGGCACATTGCTTGTAATTCTCAGGCACCACCAAGAATAAGAAAAGATTTGATTTCTATAAGTTTTATTGTAAATATCTGAGAGCTTTCCTTTTAGCAAAGTTGGTCTAAGTTTCAAACTACTTTTTTGATTTCTGTCTGAAGAGTCCAATAAATCTGTATTCTAAACCTGTAGGAAAGTCTTAAATATGAGCACTGATAGAAGAGAGAGGGACCTTGAAAATGCTCATTCCTCAAAGGACAGAGCCTCTCGGTTCCTCTTCTGTCCAGGTTCTGGTATAGCCAGGCCCTGAGCAGACTTTGAGAAAGAAGTGGACTGTACAGCCTAGGAGAACTTTGTATTCTGTACTGGAGATTTTTTGCCTTTTTGTATTTACTCTTCTATTTCACTTGAAATGGAAATAAATCTTTGCATTGTTTGTGATGAAGTGTCTCTGAGTTTACTCTTTCAAGCCTTGTACTCTTGAGACTGGGAGACATACAGAAACATGCGTGACTTGTGCTGCTCGCTCATTGCTTTTCACCCTGTCTTACCTTGGCATTTTTTGGTCTGCTGGGTTGCTGAAGACATTAGAGGGAAGGTGGAGGGATGGCCAGCAGCACCAGGCCACAGGTGGCGTGTCAAATATCCACAACCCCGTGAGTCACCAGTCTGCTTTGAGGGTCTCCTGTCAGGCCACAAGCATGCCCTAGACATCAATGCATGGCTCCATCCCAGCCGCGTGTCTCTACTAGAAAAAGGGACAGGCAGGGAAGGCTACTACCTGTGGGAGGAACAGAAGCTCAGAGATGGGCAAGGGGATTGTGGTTGGCATTAATTACTCTCCAATGCTCCAACATGAAGTTGGGCTAGGTGGAGAAGATGTTACTGCTGGAAACGTTACATTGCCTGTCCTGTGGCAGCAGCAGCAGAAATGCTTGGTCTTGCCTCCTGCACGCCAGGCCAGTTAGTTTTTTTGGCAGAGATGGAGTTCCTGCAGTCACAGGCTGACGCTGTGTTCACCTTTTGCAATGGCAACATCTGTGGGAACAATTCATCAAGCAGCAACCATAGCTGATGGGGGCTGTAACAGGCCTTCAGGGGCAACTCCACACCTCAGGATGATGAACTGGCTTGCACATGGGTAAAATGATGGCAGATGTTGCCCCTTCTCCCGCTGAGAGTGTGAGGACTGGCTTCCTGAGGGTGTTTGGGGGATAGTGAATTCTGCAGCTGTTGCCCTGTCAACAGCCCAAGCTGCATGGAGGGCGATGAATGGGATGGGAACAGGTAATTTAAGCTGCCAAATTACCAAAGAGCAGATAGGAAAGTCTTCTTCAATAGCTTTGGGACTTCCAAGTATGATTTATCTGCCTTTGAAAGTGTGTTATGGTTTGACACTGGCACAATGCCAGTGCCCTTATGAAAATGTAATCTTTTAATTGGATGTTGTGAAATGTAATTGAGACTAGAGTAAAGTAGGCTTAAGCTTAATAATAAGGAAAAAAAAACTTTATTAAGCTATTATTATTATATTATTATAAAATGAAAAAGAAAGGAAAAAAACACATAAAAATTAAAATGAAAACTTTTTAAAGCATTTTTCTTATTATTACTTACTTTTAATAAACTATAGTCAGACACAACTTGGACTTTAATTAGGTTTTTACTTTCTAGACAATTGATTTTCAGTTTACTGAGGGAGAGAGGAGCCCCTCCTGTGCTACAGACTCCCCAAGAAACACAGCTGCTACATCTTGTGTTTTTATGTTATTACATGGCACCGCCTGGAGAAAAAAAGTTTGCTAATAGTGACTTTTTTAAGACCACAGTGCCCCCCCATTTTCCCCTAAAGCTAAAAGTTTAAAAACAAAAATTTTCTTCTCTTCTTCCTCTCTAAAAATAAAAAATATTATTATAAATTTTTTTAACTTTTCTCTGTTCACTCTACTTCTATCTTTTTTAGTTAAAATAAGTCTTTTTAACTCACTAACATCCTCCTAAAATACAGTCTCTCTTAGAAAAAAAAATCACTTCAGTCTATAGTTACTAAAAAAAGTCTAACTAAATACTACTTTATCATCTCCTCCCACCTAAAATTTCACCATCTTAAAGTCTAAACTGTCTTTCTTCTTCTCTTTTAAACTGAAAAAAAAAAAATTACAAAGCTTTCATTTCTCAAAAAAAAAGTTAAAAGCCCCAACTCCCAAAAATAACTTGCTGCCCAAACTCCACAAGCAGCTCAGCACCTTACAGCCCCCCTGCTCTTCTCCTTCCCCACAATAAACTACTAACAAAACCACTGCTGTCTCTCTCTCTCTCTCTCTCTCTCTCTCTCTCTCTCTCTCTCTCTCTCTCTCTCTCTCTCTCTCCTCTAGTAAAAAAACCAAAAACATCTCCGATTTTTCTACTCTTCTATTTACAAAAAAACAACCCAGTTTCAGTCCCTCCACACTTAAGCCTACCTCCAAAAGCCACATAGCTCTCCCCTCCCCCACCCAGCTCCTTGCTGGGCAGGGGAGAGTCCTGCACTACATGCTAACCAAAACAAAAAAAAAAAAGTTCTCCTAAAAATTCTAGTTTTAACCCCTCTATATTCTCAAAAGCATGTCCACCTTCAATTAATCAATGTCTAAATTAACTTCTTCCTTCCGGAAAAATTCTTTTTCCGTGTCAAACCACAACAAAGTGAAAAGAAGTGGATCAAATCTATGAGAAAGAGGAGGCAGGGGAGGCCCCTGCCATTTAGCAAGGAGGGCGTACCTTGGAGGGAGTCCAGAGCTTTGTGAATTGTAATTGGAGAGCAGTCTGTGTAGCTGGAGCTGGGCTGTATCCTTTACCTAGAGCTGCCGTGTCAGCGACCAGAGGCGTCCCACTCACATGTGACCTGGAAGTGAGCTAATGTGAACACAGGAAGGCTGATGGGGCTCTGACTTTACGGAGTAAGGTGTATGAGAATACAGTGGTCCATGTTGGCACAAAGAACAATTTTACACACTTGTCTTGATGTAATCCTGAAGCATTGATTTGTTGGAAGCCCTCCCTAGACAGCAGAGCTGATTTTTTAACTCAGTCCAGCTGAAGTGTATGTCTTCTCATGTCCAAGGTCAAGAAGTCAAGGTGGGAGATGGTGGCAAGTGCTATACCTGGAAGCTGGTGTTATTTTAGGGAGTTACTTTTGGATGTGGTGCAGTCATCCAACCCCTCTTTGTGTGGGCAAATCTGTGGGAGAGAAGCCCAGCTCAGGGCTGCCAGACTGAACTCTCACTGCTTCTACCACATTGGAATACAGGGTGCAGCTGGCCAACATGAAGTACTCTGGCCACACTGCTTGGGCTAAGAGGAAAAGAGGCTGTATCCTAGCCTCCTCTGAAGCTAGGATATTAACAGGAAGTTAAAAGGACTATTGTATGCTCTGGCTGAAAATGGCCATGGAAAGGAGGCAGGAATATTAACTGTGGGCTGGCACATAAGAGCTTACTGAGCTTACTGCTATCCCTTCTCTGATGCCAGGAAGCTAAGATTCATTAGCCATTTAAGAATTTAGAAAACTGTTGTCGGGATGTGAACATGCAAAGAGATCCTAAATGATTAAGGAACAGCTTCTGATCTTTATTGTTCAGTATCAGCACCAGAAATCTTGGTCCAGTCGCTGAGACACAGCTTGCTTGGTGCATGAACCACTCTGAGTCAATTATCCCTGTGGCTGGCTCTTGCAAGGACACCATCTGCATCACATATTGACCTCTTCCACTTGGGAAAAGGTGCTCATGAATCCAGGCTGTCAGCTTCTGAGGCTAACAAATGATGTCCGAGGCCTCCTATCACTTCTACAGCCATATACTTTAACACATGGCCTGTCATCAGGCTCACTGGAGTGCTGGCCCTAGAATTGGCCAATTGTATAGGGGCTCCCTAGCCACTCTTCGTCTGTTCTCAGGTTTACGGTGGCAAGAATAACAGGGGAGGAAGACTTACAGAGTATCAGCATTTATTGTTTTCAATGGGCAGACCATGATGTTTTCAGAGGTTTCCTTCCCTTCATCAGGAAGTGCATACCGATGATGATGATTTCTTCCTTCTCCACCTTTGGGTACACTAGAGTTTATTGCTGTATGTGTATTCTTTTTCAGTAGTTCTCAAATTGTTTTGGTGGTTTGGTGTTTTTTTTTTTTTTTTTTTTTGTTGGTTTTTTTTTGGGGGGGGGAGGGGGTTTGTTCTTCTTATTTCCTCTAAAATTGCCTTTTTTTGAACAACATGCATTAGTCAAATAAAGGCTTGCGTTTCTGCAACAATGAATGCCCAACAACTGCAATAGACCTGGACCCTGGAGTTACAGACAGATCGGGCCACGCTGAATAAATGCCTAAGTGAGAAGTGCCACCCTGTTACAGTGTGAGAGGCCATGCCTGGGTGTTATTGTTGATGTTGGTGGCTTTTTCATGGAGGAAGCAGAGGATAATTCAGAGCTTTGTCCTTTATGTAAGAAACATTTGTTTGAAAAAAAAAAAAAAAAAGTTTTCCTTCCTGGGTAATTTCTTTTGCATTTTGTTTTCATGGAGGTTTTCTCCACAATTCCCTTCTGGAGAAAAGGCAAAAGAAAAGCTCTCTTGAAGCAGCCAGGGAAAATGGTTTCATGCCTTCCCACTTAAGTGGATATAAGATATAGTACCTCTCTGCCACAACAGGAACTGAGCTTAAATCCGGGAAGACCTTACACAGTTGGGGAGACCTCATAGCACCTTCCACTATCTAAAGGAGGCCAACAGGAAAACAGGAAAGGGACTTTTGACAAAAGCCATGTGCTATGACAAAGGACAATTACTTCAAAGTGAATAAAGGTGGATTTAGATCAGGTATTTGGAAGAAATTCCTGTGAGGGTGCTGAGGCACAGGCACAGGTTGCCCAGAGAAGCTATGGATACCCCGTCCCTGGGCGTGTTCAAAGCCAGGCTGGATGGGTCAGTGTGCAGTCACGGGGGAGAAGCGATGCTCTTTAAGGTGGTTTTCAGTGCAAACTGCTGGGCGCTGCCGCTGGGGAGCACTGCGGGCCGCGGCGGGCGGCACGGAGCGGGGCCCGGCAGGAGGAGCGGCTCGGCCGGCGGGCGGAGCTCGGTACCCAGCGCGAGAACTGCGCCTCCTGCCCGCCGTCCGAGCTTGGGCCAACAAGCAGCCGTGCCCAGGGGCATGTGATTCATACTGCCCGCTTTAGCGCTTTCATGAATTTCCAGGGAGATGGCTCAGTAGAGGAGAGAGTTGATAAAAGCATCATTATAATACCTGTAAAGCACAGTCTGACTATTTACTACACAAGCGATATCCTGGTTTCTTCATGTTTTCTGCGTCCTGTCAGTGAAAACCTCAGGTTGTCTGAGGAAGACACAAGCACAGTTCATGCTCAGCACCCTGAGTCCATCTGGATGGACTGAATTTCATGCAGTGGG